TAACAAAACTAAGACAAAGTTGATATGAATTTTCTAATAGAATATTTAAATTTTATTGGAAAAGCTCAAGCACCTCACGAACTAAATTTATAAATAAATGCTCTTGTAGATATTGATGTTATTGTAATCGATGGGTAATTATTATGTCAAATTATTATTATACATTGACCTCTTCCATCCAAATTACGCTATGTATATTCTTTTACTTTATATAAATGTCGCGCTTATTTTTAGAGTGAAAATCTAAATTTTTAAAGTGGAGAAGGGTGTCCGCCGAGGCTTCGGTGGCGAAGTTGGTTAACGCACCTTCCCGGCAAGAAGGAGGCCCAGGTTCAACTCCTGGCCGAAGCGGATAACTTTTTTTCACTGCTCTGTAATTTTAATTGACAAAGTTTTTCGCACTTCAGCGATTTTCACTCTAAAAATAAGCGCAACGTTTCTATAAAGTAAAAAAATATACATAGCGCAATTTAGATGGAAGAGGTCAATATATAATAATAATTTGACATAATACTTACCTATCGATTACAATAACATCAATATCTATAATATCGGCGTTTGACCTAAGACACGCCTAAACAGAGCAGTGGAGAAGGGTGTCCACCGAGGCTACGGTGGCGAAGTTGGTTAACGCACCTTCCCGGCAAGAAGGAGGCCCAGGTTCGAGTCCTGGTCGAAGTGGATAACTTTTTTTCACTGCTCTGTAATTTTAATTGACAAAGTTTTTCGCACTCCAGCGATTTTCACTCTAAAAATAAATGCAACGTTTCTATAAAGTAAAAGAATATACATAGCGCAATTTAGATGGAAGAGGTCAATGTATAATAATAATTTTAAATAAATGCAATAGCAATAGTTACGATGATAATAAATTTATGTATTTCAGAAGAAATCAATAATAGCATAAAATTAATAAAAAGAAAAATTGTTCATGTGTAACATTNAATATACATAGCGCAATTTAGATGGAAGAGGTCAATGTATAATAATAATTTTAAATAAATGCAATAGCAATAGTTACGATGATAATAAATTTATGTATTTCAGAAGAAATCAATAATAGCATAAAATTAATAAAAAGAAAAATTGTTCATGTGTAACATTAAAGCTGCAGTAATAAAAATAAAGTTTTCATTCTCAGAATAACATTAGAAACAGAATGTTTACCATCTTTAAATTTTTTTCCTAGACAGAAAATAATTTTCCCTATAAATGGCTTTTTAAAGTAATATTTCTGTAGGCACGTTAGGCACAAGGGTAACTCAACGATTTAGGAATTTATTTTCTCAAAAAATATGTAACAAAAGTATATATTAGTTTATTCATTTTCATTCCTTAATTCAATTTCGTACAAAAAAAAAAGAGTTTTCGACGGATTTCATTTCATAACCCCTTGTATGCCAGCTGAGCACGATATCCCGTTATCCATGAGCTCTTTCTGACGTGAGAATACCATGAGCTTTTCTTATAGTGTGGTTCAAACTTATTTTTAATAAAAATATTTATTTCTTTTTTAATAATTTATTTGTTAAAAAATACAGAATCGTACATAAACATTAAAAAATTATTAGTATTTAAGAAAATATTATTACACCTTAATCATTGTATCAAGAGGTGCACATGTATAGATGGCAGCACATTTTATACAAGCACTCTATATCTTCCATACATGCCCATTTTCTCAACATCCAATATACTTAAGATTCATAATACTAAACCACATGATTTCTTTTTCAAGAAGACTTTTCGTTAAGAAATAAATAAGAATGAGAAAAATATCCTCCCCAGGTGAAGATCGAACACGCAACCTTCTGTTTACTAGACAGTTGCTCTACCAAGCATTAGAATCATGTACCTACTTTATCGAGATTAGGTAAAAAACAGCTCTAAAAATTAAGAATCAGAAACTTATCTCAACTTACGGTGCGAGTGAATGTACAGCTCCTAAGTAGCTCAAATGGTAGAGCAACTGTCTAGTAAACAGGAGGTTTGGCGTTCGATCTTAACCTGGTGAGGATATTTTTCTCATTCTTATTTATTTCTTAATAAAAAATTTTCTTGAAAAAAAAATCATGTAGTTTAGTATTATGTATCTTAAGTATATTGGATATTGAAGAAAAGGGCATGTATGGAGGATATAGAGTGCTTATATAAAAAGTGCCGCCATCTATACATGTACACCTCTTGATACAATGATTCAGATGTACCAACATTTGCTTGAATACCTATTAGTCTTATGAAATTTATAGTTTACTGACAAGCATAAGAATCATATACCTACTATTAGTATTTAATTAATACTTTTTTGCAAAATTTTGGAAAAATGTCTTTTAGTAACAGATTACTGTGTAATTATAAACCTTTATTTCATTTTTAATAATTCACAAATTAAAAAAAATAAGTATAAGTGTCTACAGACTTTTTAGTTATTTTTTAATTTTTCCAAGCAGTTTTATATTAAAAAAGTTTTTTTTATTGACAGTTTATTCATAGGAGATTCTATGATTTGATTTTTCATTCTATAAATGATTCTATGAATCAATTAATTTCTATGAGGTGTGGTACATTACGTCACTAGGGCACAAAGTACAAACATGAGCGCCTGAAGAGCGCGCTTGTTGTAGGTTGGTGCCCGAGTCTCGTATAATGTTTTTCTTACCGACGGCGCAAAGTGCAATTTTGCGCCCGTGGGCACACTTTGCGACCAGTCAATCACTTTGGGCCCTAGGGCAGAAAAGTACTTTGGACCCGGAGGGCGCAAAAAACTTTTCTGCCCATGGTCCCAAAGTGATTACAAGGGCGCAAAGTGTGACCCAAGGGCGCAAAGTGGCAGTTGCACTTTGGGCCCATGGTAAGAAATGGTAGTTTTCCTACGAGTTTGAAAAGTTTTTGTTTGCGAACTGAGAGGTTTGCGGCCCGAGCCGAAGGCGAGGTCCATAGCGAGGTTCTTAGAGGAGACTTTTCGCACGAGTTCCGGAAAACTGCTTTTTCGCCCGAGGAAGTACCAGCCTCCTAAAACCACCCGAGGGCGGAAATATAATTATAATAAGGTGTTGCTATGATTTTTTAACTAAATTAATATTGGATACTTCTTTTTTATTAAACTTAGTTCTTAACAAAAAGAAAGTTGATTTTCGATAGAACCACTTTAACAACGCACATAACATGACATGCATAGCAAAATAAAGTTCATCCTGGATTAGCTGAAGGACTTGCACTAACTTAGAGACTGTATTTTCGTTTTATCATTGAACTCCTACAAAAAAATATGTCCAAGAATGTGTTCACATTAGAAATATTTAAATGAATTAGTCAAATATTTATGTGATAGTTACTACTGTGTTGTACTATAATTATAATACTATGAGGGGGCTGTGGAAAGGGTGTAGGATATCATAAGGGGGCTTTACTCAAAAATATTAAAATTGTGAAGGAGCTAGGAAAAAGTATGGAGGGAGGTGGGGCAAAATTGCCTTAAATAACCAAGAAATTAACGTGTTTCTGCCTTAATTGAGGAGGGAGTATGGAAAGGGCTTATGCAATAAGAGCGAGGAATAAGAAAATAACAAAAACAAGAGGAGTAACAGCGAATATTCTTTTAAGAAATGTTTATGTGTTCGGGACAATCAAAGACGTATTCGCCTACAGTTTTACGTTTATTTGAGCTTTCTTTTTAAAATAACAAATCAACTTAAATTTTTTAACTTTCGAAAGCAATGCGTCAAAGTAATTTTCTACTAAGCTAACAATGCGAGTTGTACCAGAGGTGTTACGTTGCGCTTTCCACCCTCTTATCGTAAAAAAACGTCATACTTCCATGGAAGACGGTAAAAAATCGTATATGCAACACGGGACAAATGGATAGCATTAACTTTAAAGAGGAATCTGCAAACTTCAGCCGTATGGCGTAATACAATATTTACTATTACAAAACAGGCGCGTGATTCGGTAAAAAATAAGCTTTTTTTTGTCAAACTTCACTGAACTATCATAGAAAAAAACGGAATAAGCACAATTAACTGTGTCATATCAAATCTTATTTATCAAATCTATCAAATTTATCGATCTCTGTACCTATTCACACACACATGCACACTCATACGTGGCTCAACTTATGGTATAGAACCACACAGATTTTAAAAATGTATATACATATATGTTGTACGTATGTTTGAATTAAGTGTATTGTAGGTATAAATGACATAATTTTCTAACGTTATTATTCTCAAACGCAAATAATGCATACCACTTTTGCAATTGTAACTAACAAATCATTTTATTTTATTAAAAATAAATGTAAGAAATTCCTGAAAAAATTAATTGCGCAACTTGTAAACTAATAAGTCGTATTAAAACTTTTATTTTGTATGTCTTTAATTGCTGTTGCAGACGTGGATGATCACAGATCGATAAGTAGGGTCGCAAGAATATCGCTCACTGATAAACATAATTTAATCACATGATTAGGACCATACTTATTTATGAAAATGATTAGGACCATTCTTTAAACAAATCTGGCCGTAATACTATAAATTTTATAAAATGTTTTTATAAGTGTGCCCACTTTGAAGTATTACTAACTTCATTTTCTAATAATTCAAATATTCTCCAATATACATAGCGCAATTTAGATGGAAGAGGTCAATGAAAATTGTGTTGTTCATGATTGTAAACTTTATCTTTACTTAGAAGCTCTTACCAAAGTTTCAGTTTTTTATTTTCAAGTTACATAATAGCTTAGTTGTTGTGCATTAGAAAAAAGAGTTAGGTTCAATTTTGATAAAAAAAATATTTTTTCACTTATTCTCAATCTCAAAAAATCTAACAAGACAATGACATTATCTTAGTCAATGTACATATTTTACAGTTGGACCACATTTGTCATACAAGTTAATTTATGGGTTAAAAAACAGCTAACACACTTTTTGACAGTTAAAACCAATTTTATTATATCAGAAAATATAATAATAAATAAAATAGAAGAACTGAGAAAACATTACCTCTAGTCTAGCTATTTCTTCACCAATGCATTTGTTATTTTTACATACTAATGATTGAAAGTATTCAGATATTCCACGATAGGCCAACTGCTTACTAGATATCTGTAACATAAATAAAATTATGGACATAATTTAAGTATTTCATTTATAAAGTTTTTTGTAATGAAAATATCATGTATAAAGTATTAGATTTGATAAATTCAGCGAACAAGTTGATTTCAACTTATGTCAATTTTATTTCTTATTTATCAGAATATTTATGACCAAACTTCTTTTTAGACGCAGAAACAGCATAAAGTTGACTGCGCTATAATTGTGTTAAATTAGCTGTTACATCTGCAAAACTGTGAAAAAATAACGTTTTAAAATAAACGACATAGCCAATCTTCGATTTTTAATGTCACGTTTAATGAGACAATATTATAACATAAATTTCCAATCAATTGTTGTTAAAAGAATAACTAAAATAGTTTTGAAAAAAAAGGTAGATAGATAAATCTTTAATTTTTGCCACAATTAGTGCTACTTTCTTAACCAAACACATTAGACATTTTACGGTAGGTGCTTGCGAGCAACTGCAATGTGATTAAGAATATATTATAACAGTAGTTTTGCAAAATATATTCTCAAGTAATCAAAGTGTAAGACTTCAGTTTTAATTGTCGTGTTCACTTTTAATCCAAGAACACCTAGTGCTGTTAAAAAAAATATTACGGACGATATGTAGAAAGGTCAATGAATTTTATGATTCATTCAAGCTTACAAAAAATTCAAGTAAAAATCACTCTGTTGCGTTTGTTTTCTTGATACTCTTTTTCAAAGGTTAATTAATAATATTTTCATATCATCAGTAATGTGGATACAGTATACAAAACTATAGAAATAACAGTATATTTTAAATACAAACTTCATGTATATTTACAATAGTGTGAAATAAAATTATAACTGAAAAGTAAAGAACAGTAAACCACCACAAAATTTACTTTTTAACAAAAGTCAAAGGTAAGGCAAGTTTGACACGTTATAATTAATAACGTGAACTATCCATTAAGAAAAAAAAAAAAAAAAAAAAAGAATGTTCTCTACTTTATTTATGCGTTTTTTCTGTTATTGTTTATGTAAAAGTATATAACTATAAATATTTATAAATAATTGCCACAGTTTTAAATACGTCGATCATTAAATTGCATATTCCTTACATACTCAGGATGCAAAATCACGATGTCCTACATTTTATATTTCATACAACATCTTTCCGGATAAGATATCAATACTAGAGAACCTGAAAAAATTTTATGAGATACACTTTTGACTTGCAAGGTTTCAAAATTAGTTTTAAAACGTTTTTTATAGTATGGTGGAGTTTTACGTAACAAAACTTTTGAAAAAAATTTAATATTTTCTACATATTAGGTATGCTACAATCATTCTTCGTTAACTAGACATTACCTCGGTAAATTAATGTGATGAAAACAAATACAAACAATTATTCAAAGAGCTTTAAGGGTTTAGTAGTAAGCGTGCTGGCCTCCTAGCCGGAGATACTCAACAGATCATGGGTTTGAATCCCGTAGAAAGTTAACGAGATTTTTTCTCGGTCTTTTCTGATGGGATGAGTATCCAGGATGCCGAAACACCACTTACCCGAATTTTAAAACGAATAGTGGATTTTTTTTTTCTGGACCTCCAGGGGCTTCCTTTGCGAAAGAAAGCCAAAACTTGGTCAGCTCATCAGGTAAAGTCACTATAGGTTATGAAAAGATCGGTACAGCGAGTTAGATGGTTTCTTTAAAAATATCGTTCCATTACACTTGATAATAGCTGGGGTGTGCTTGAAACAATCGCTGCATCCTGTAAAAAGTACCCAGTAGGATGGATGACCGTGTCGTCTAAGGGGACCTTTGCAAGGAGCCCGTACGAAAGACTCTCATACTTGGAGAAATAGGATGGTAGTAATAACGAAAAAAAAAAAAAAAAACTAGGAAGGTATTGGGACAACAAGATACATAAAAATCCTAGAAAAGGTAAACGTTGGTACCATACTACTACGGCAGCTACTGCTGCTGCTGCTGCTGCTGCTGCTGCTGCTGCTGCTGCTACTGCTGCTACTACTACTACTACTACTACTACTACTACTACTACTACTACTACTACTACTACTGCTACTACTACTACTACTGACCTTTGTGGAGGACAGACCTTTGCAACGGTGCTGAAGACGATGAAGGCGAATTTTGACCCAGATAAGACTGACGTGTCAATCCAAAGTGTTGTCACTACAAAAAAAGGAGACATACTTATTAAGGCCAAAGGTGTAGAGAATGCTACTGCATTCTCACAGCAAATTGAAAAGTCGGTAGCCGGACAAGGTACTGTCAAAATAAGCAGCAGAAAAGTGACTTTAGAGGTCCGAGACCTGGATGCCATTGTTGAGGAAGACGAGGTCAAAAAGGCTTTCGCTAGGACTTTTGGACTTAAGAGCCAGGAGCCAGAAGTAACTCTCTCAAAGCCAAATGCCAGAGGACAGAGACTGGCTTTAATCAAGGTGGACGAAACAACTGCCAGACAAGTAGAAGAGGAAGGCAGGTTACGAGTTGGCTT